TTTTATTCTACTGAGGTTATAACAAGCATACAGCCCACCTAATGGTAAGTAGTTACCGTAGCCTATGAACGCTTGCAATATATTTTAGAAACCGCACTGTACGTGACCATCTGAGCTCTCAGGTATGAGGATGAGTTCCCTGTCGATGTTCGATGGAAGACAGCGGCCGTGAGCATCATACTGAACAATTCATCTGAGCACAGTCCGTTGTATGAGCAGAACACGCAGAGTAAGGCAAAATTTCTCCTAAGACAAGAGTTCGATACTGCTTGTAAGTCTGAGATCATCGACAATCCAGTCGAAGGGTTCTAGTTGATATCTAGGTACTCCCGCCCGTAAGTGTCAGCAATACTCCATTTAGGGCCGGATTTGCAATTTATAGAGCATTAATCGTTGACCCGGCGTGAAGTATTTATTGCTTCGCTCTATTAAGCACACCGAATATAGTTAGAGAATTTCTTTACAAAACGCTTAGGAAAAGGAAGACTTCTCGCTAAATGATCTAATATCAATGAAAGCACAAAGCGTAGCTCTTTGCTATGATAACCCAGGATAGGGCGATCTGGTGCCGCTGTATAAATATAAGAAAATTGGATCTTAAACAGTACTGGGATTAAGGATAGAAAGAAGTTAGAAAAAATAAATATGTTGCTTTGTTAAAGTTATCAATCTCATTGCTCGCAATATACCCTATTATGTCGACCTCCACGTGGTTCCTATTAGAACCCATTGTGATTGATTTATTGTTGAATTCGTTACGATGGTCCAACTGACCTGACTGATCAGGGGGGAAAGGGATTATCAGTAATGAGGTCTAATTGCCTCATTACTAACAATGTACCCTCTTAGGTCGACCTCTACGCGGTTCTCCCTGGAAACCATCATGGTTAATTCTTGTCGAATTCATCATGGTGGGCCAACTGAGCTGCAGGCATTCTCACCTATGATCTTCCACTGGTACCTCGCCGGTGTACACCAAGAGCGCGGGTGGGGTTACCATTCCATTTTCATCCATAAAAAAGACCTGCTTTATCATCATCTAATATCCTTTACTGGTACCCTGCCAGTGTATACCGATAGCGCAAGCGGGGTAACCATTCCATTGTCATGCATTAAAAAAAATCTAGATTATACACAGACACTTCAGTACTTAATATTTATTGTATAATATAATAATTATAGTCTGTAGTAGTGTGTAGTGATTTTAAAAAACCAGACTAATCATTAACACTTTTTAAATATTTAGTATTGTCATCTATAAATTAAGACAAGAATTAATTTTATTTTTGCTATTTAACGTATATTATGTAGATTTAATACATAAAGTAATTAACAGATGGCGCTATTACACATTGCCATCTAGTAGTGAGTAGCGAACCTACATCGTGAAGTTGGTATTATTTCAGTATATCAATAGATGTCGCGACCAATCACAAATTTACCTTTGAATATACATAGAAAACAGCATTTATGGAATTAAATTTATATCTCCTTATTTAAGTATGATTACTGTAAAACTAAGCACCGTTGTAATATAAAGATTATAAAGGTATATTAAAGAGGACTTTATTATTGCAGTAATTTTATATATTAGACTATTAAGTTACGTAAGTAAGCGGATAATAATGTAGGTTTGTTGCAGTTTCGCTTGGTAAAATAAAATTTATAGGTTACTTAAAAATGGAGGTGGCTTTAAAGTATATATTTATTTGTATGAACCAAAGTAACACTTTCGCCACTTAATTGACAACTTTGATGATTCTTTTTGTAAACGGTAAATTTTAAATTATATATGTATTAATTTTGTTATGATAGAAAAATTGTTTTTTTTGTGACACATTTATCTCTAGATAATAATAAATTTGTAAATAAAAATCTGATAATAATAGAATGAAAAGATGATAATAATAGAATCTATCTAGATTGCCTTTAGAAGTAAAACGTTCAAGATAAAGGGTATTTCATGCAGTTAGCAGAAAGTTAATTTAACAAGTTGATTATTCGGAAGGCGAGGTTCTTTGAGGGAATTAATATAAGGGTTTCTGGTATCTGAAACTATATGATTTTTGTAACGTTTATTACTAACAATTCTTACATATATTGATGGGGTATTTGTAAGTTCAGTTAGCCCAATGTGATGAATTCACCAGGTATTAAACCATCGGGTTTGGTACCTGGACCAGGTATTAAACCCGATGGTTTAATACCTGGTGAATTTGTTCCAGGGGAACCGCGTGGAGGTCAACCTGATAGGGTATATTGCTAGCAATGGGGCCGCTCTAGTCTCCATTAATAACAATCCCTTGGGGGGAAGGGATTGTTAGCAATGGAGTTTGACAGCCTCATTGCTAGCAATATCAGGTCAACCTCTGCGTGGTTCCCCCTGGAAACCATCGTGAACAATTCTCGTTGAATACGTCACGATGGGCTAACTGACCTGTTTCATCCTCGTCTATGTCCCTGGTGGGCACCAGTGAAGGATGATAGAAACAATGATAGTTATCAGCGTATACCGATGTGCGGGTGTGATATAGCGATATTTCATTATCACCTATAAAAAAAAAATAACAAACCCTTACCCCGGCTGTAAGCACCGACTATTCGGCACTTAAACTGCAAAATGTTTAACAGTAGGCTCCGAACAGCGAAATAATAATTTATCTGAAGATGCCTCATTTAGAGGTGTAACACGTATAGCAAAAAGTGCGTGAACTAAATGGCAGTTGGAGATTTATGGCTAATATGGAAGGTTGTAGTACTTCTGGTAGTAAAAGTGGTGACAGTCACACACATATTAGCTAATAGTAGCGGAATTAAAATAATTCTAATTAATTAACCAGTGATATGGACTTCCGCAAGATAACATCTATTTCAGTAATATATCAAACTAGAAAACAAAGAAAGCAGACATTTCTAAGGGTTCCTTGCGATTAAAAAAGATGATTAATAAGTTTCTGTATCTAGTTAAAGTGCTGCAGAGGGTACAGAAAAAAAAGTTAGGAGTGCTCAATAGGGTGAGACGGTATTTCATGCCGGAACACCGCCTGAAATTATATAAAGCTCAAGTCAGGCCGCATATGGAATACTGTTCTCACCTGTGGGCAGGAGCGCCACAGTACCAACTCCTTCCGTTAGACCGCATTCAAAGTCGGGCGGCTCGAATTATTGATAGTCAACGCCTTACTGTCCGACTTGACCCACTGAAACTGCGCAGAGATGTTGCATCTCTGTGCATCTTCTACTGAATTTATCATGAAGAGTGTTCTGAGGAATTGTTCGGATTGATACCTGCTGCTGATTTTCACCACCGTAAAACCCGCCACAAACTAAAGTTTCATCCCAATCATCTGGACGAGCGGTCTTCCGCCGTGCGTTTTTCAAGGCACTTTCTTCCACGCACAACCATTCTTTGGAATCAACTTCCAGCAGCAGTATTTCCGAACCGATAGGACAACATAACCTTCAAGAAAAGAGTATATTTCTTTTTAAAAGGCCGTCAGCACACCTGCAATGCCGCTGGTGTTGTGGGTGATCATGGGCGGCAGTAGTCACTTACCATCAGGTGAGCCGCATGCTCGTTTGCCCCCTGCGTTGTAAAAAAAAGAAAAAAAGATATATTCGTTGCGCAGTTGAGGTCCGAAGGTTTTGAATCCCGGTTGAACTTTACGAAACGAGTTTTCCTATTTCTCTTAGAAATGGGCTCGCATCTAAATGTGCTTTTAAATGTTTGTTCTGTGGTTTCTAATATACAGGAATCCCACTACTAGGTCTTTTTTAATAGATGGAAATGGAATGGTAACCCCTTCTGCACTTGGTATATACTGCTAAATATCAGCGGATGATGATAGGTTAGGTTGAAGCGAGTCAGTTGGCCCATTACCAAGGCCCTGGGAAGTTGCACGCTTGTCTTCACGCGCTTTCCTTCAAGAGTAGGCGGACACATAACATCAGATGTCTGTCCCAAATCAGAGTCGAAACCACCACTGGTAACTAGGACGTCGCTGCTGAGGTCGCTGTAGCGTTCAAACGGCAGCCAGTGATGTTCAGCACATGGAGAGATGAGCGACACCGTGGTGATTTTAGCCAGAAGGAAACCAGCCATGCGTCCCCCGGGGTGTATGGGTTTGCATGATACATTTTCCCACGTCAAAAAAAAAGGTCAATTGGCCCATCGTGAGGAATTCATCAAAAATTAACCACGATAGTTTTTAGGAAGAACCGTGTGGAGGTCCACTTGATAGGATACATTGCTAGTAAAGGGTTTGTTAGATTTCATTACTAACAATCCCTTCCCCTACCTTTTCCTCCCTAATACGAGGTTAGGTAGTTACGAGTAGGATGTTTGTTAGCTACGCTAGTCGACATTTTTTATAGTTTTATGTATTTTCAATACCATTTTTTATTGTAGGCGTTAATTTTACTTTTTTTTGTACATAATATGTTTCTAAATATGTTCCTTGGGGAAAGTTATTTGGTTTAGTAGTCATGTCGCTGGGTTTTGTTAGATCCTGTTTGTTGCTTTGGATAGATATTACTTTTCATTATCTATGGCTTCATCATCACAGCCGTTAATTGTCTATGATTAATATAGGTCTCCATCATAATGGGTTTTGTTCGTAGTAGCTACGTTTGGCAGGCAGTTTGGTAACTGCAGGCTTTAGTGATGTTTTAAAAAGGACGCTGCTGCTTATACCTTGATCATGAAATTTTCTTAGCTGCCTCTTATGACATCCACATCCTAAGCCTCTCTCTTGGGGGTTTATCAGTAGTTGCTATGCTTGGCAGGCGGATTGGCAATCGCAGTTAGACTTTGGAGATGTTTTAAGAGGGACACTGCTGCCCATCCTTCACCCTCCCTTAGACGTCTCTTACGACACGCACGAGAAAGGAAAGGGTGGCCTATCCCGGCATAGACCGGGACCACACGGGATATTAAAAAACAAATATTCATATTAATATTTGCCTGAGCGAGGAAAAGAAATAATAAATCAAAAACAAAATAAATGGCAGAATTGTATTTTATTTTCTGAACAAAACTTGTCACATATTTGTTGAGAAAAATAAAATTGGCATTACAAAAATATGTAAATATTCACATAGTACCTATACAATATTGTTCGGTAATATTAACATGGTATCAGTTCATTGTTTATTACGAACATATTCTAAAACTAACGGCACAATTCATAGAAACACGGGTATCAGAATTCACTGCAAACACAAAATGGAGATTCGTAATCAAAAATTAAGTAATAAAAAATTATGAAAACAATACAGATAGTAAAATTGTAATAGCGATACATATAAAAAGTTTAGAAAGCACAAATTATAAAAAATATAAGGAATATAAATTTTATATTTAAAAACTATGTTTGCAGTATTTCCAGTAATCCCGAATTTACACGCTTAAATATAAGGTACATAAATTAATATGCTAAAAGTCTTTCTTGGCTACAACGGCATATTAATATGCCTACTAATAATACTATACAGTAAGAAAATAATAGCACACGTATAAGTACTAAACAAATGTTTTTTAAAAACATATGTCAAGATTCACAACAAGTTACAGAATGCATAAGTTTATAAGTTAGAGTTTAAATAAATTAAGAAACTTTACAAAAAAACTTTACGTCAAAACCACAAACAGAGAGATGACGTGGAAATGTTTAAGGAACTTATAAAGACTTAGAAGCTAATCAATAAATTAAAGATTATCCATTAAAATTACTAAATATCACAGAAAATGTACCCAATACTTATTAAACGAAATATCGTATCGTCATGTATTTAGAAATAACAACTCACTAACATTTCATGTACTAAGAGAGCCTAGCCAATAAATAAGTACAAAAAATGACAAACTAATAGAGCATCTAAATATTGCGTCGTTCTAATAGCATCCTTGTTGTACGTTTTCTAATTTTCTGTTTCCTGTGTTGTCTCCTTTTATTTTTCAGATTCTTTTGGAATTTTAAGCACCTTCTGTTTTGTTTAGGAGATATGTTTTTCGAATTTGTTATAATACAAAACCATCTATTCAGAAAATTGGAATAACTTTTCAATACAGTACCGTCGTATTTGAAGCATTCTCCTTCATTCGCTTTAGTTTTAAAGTTTTCTAAATACACTGTGTTATCGTTCACTGGTATAGGTATACTGACGTTTTCCAAATAGATCCTGATCTCTTCCTTAATGCTATATATTTTATCGACGATTTCGTTGAAAGATTTGTTTCGTCTGTCCAAGTATCTGCTGAAGTCTACGTCGACTGCTGTCGTTTCTATCCTCAACAAGAATTCGAATATCTCGTGGTAACTCGTCAATGATTGATACAGCTTCGGCAGTAGATATTTGAACTGTAACAATAGATAGAAAATGTTAATGATTTTGTTTATTAGCTTCATCTACATTGTTCATGTACGAGTAATTAATATTGCTAAGATGTAAAAATGTTTCTCAATGTTGTATATACTCGTATTTATGCAATATTAGAAGAAATTTTAGAAATGAAACAGCTTAAGTCGTATATCAAGATGCAATTTTTTATGGAGTAAGCTGACATTAAACTGGTAAATACAATATACTGGCTGAGATAAAAACTGGGCGGAGAAATTTTTTAATCTTTTGGAATAAAAAGCCATTAAACATTGTCATGGATCTAAAATGAATAACAGTTGCTATATGTAATATAAATGACAATTAGTTTTTTTTTTTTAATGGGTGATAATGGTATGGTAACCCCGTCTGCGCTATCGGTATACACTGGCGGGGCACCAGTGATAGATGACTGATGTGGATGAAAACAGGTCAGTTAGCCCATCGTGACGTATTCAACTAGAATTAGCCACGATAGTTTCCAGGGAAACCGCGTGGAGGTCGACTTGACAGGTTATATTGCTAAAAAATAACAGCATATATATATATATATATATATATATATATTACTTTTGCTTTTTTTAGAGACTAGGCGATTGAAGTAGTTTTTAATCTATTACTAATGTCATTAACTATTGGGGTCATAGAATCTGGGATGTGGATAAATTTAATCGAGTACGTGTAATCGTAGTTTACTGCACATGCCATTTGTGTCGAGGCTGTATTCTGTAGGTATCACACCAATATTCTAACTCCGGCTACTTCGTGTTGATGTTATAGCTTAGTCATTTAGATTATCAATCCATTCGCCAACAGGCTATACTTTGACAAATGTACAGTACGTTTTAATTTAAAATGTCGAATCTTACGTAATCTATTAGCAATCGTTATGTTACAATTAGATAATACTACCGTAGTATGTCACATGTCTTAGATGACGTAGGTGTACGAAAGGTACACATAGCGCATACATATCCCGTCACGTCTATCTCCTATACATATTTATAATATTATTTTAAAGAAATAATTGAAAGTAGTTTCATTTTTTTAATTACTTTTTTTTTAAATATTATTTCAAACAATATATATTGTTTACAAAAACATTTATTAATATATTTGACGTATAAATATTATCCCTGGACTTCACCTGCTTATATTCTGCAATACATACAAATGTATATTTTGGGAAACGTGACCAATACAAATAACTAATATTTTAATTATGTCACTGTAAAGTGTATTCACCGTAATACCTGAAACAGAGTTGTTTACTATCCGCTGACTAATATTTCAGTTCAATCTCATTGTAATGAATATTGAATGAACTCATCTCATTGATGCGAACAGTCACTGTTCCGGGAATTAATCGGTGGACAGAACGGGAGTTCGTTAATTTCGCGACGTCTGAGCCCGGCTGTAGCGCGAACTTCCTTTACAATATCAATTAATATTATTTAATGATTCACAACAATACACATGTAACGGATACCATCGATTTAATATATTGTGTCATCATCCTGATATTACATTATATCGTAATGCTATAAAGCAATTATATGAAAATTAATCGTTAATTTTATAGTCCATAAAACCATTGCAGTTTCCCTCGGCGCGAGAAGGCGCAGAAATATCAGTACCATAATAAATGACTGCGAGTAAATATGGCCAAGTATAAAAGCTGAAAACCCGACAATGAACCGCACAAATGTTTTAAATAGCTGAGCTTAACCTGTGAAACGTGTTGGAGACAAATGCCTCCACTCCGGAATCGTAAGTTCACATTCGTCTCACTTGGACAAATAATGTGTTTTTAACATTTGGTGTTGTTTTGTTAAATCGTAAATACTGAGCAAACACTAACGTGTACAAGTACGACCGCTTAAGTTGGAACTCTTGTCAGCGTGAAAGCACGCCGCCGCGCTTACATATATGGAATGTCAACCCTTTTCCAATAAAGAAACCTTTGCTTATTTCACTAATTTGCTTGAAAACATAATATAGCTGTCTATTCTTTCCAAATAGAATTTCATAAAAATGTAAACAGATGCTACGTAATTGATCCAGCTATAAGACAATCTATTGAGCCCAATATTACTACACATCAAAAATCAATTAAGTGTTTCGATTTGTTATTATTTTCATATAGGGAGGGTTTCTGTCGTAATTTCAAGAAAACTTGGTTTCTCTTTTATTAGTTTTATTTTAAACACACTTTAAAAAGTATCTAAGGGCAAGGGCGCTCTAACAATTTTCCGCTTTATTGTACCACATGAAGTTATGACCGCGTAGAACTTAAATGTGTGATGTTATTAGTAATGAAATCAAAGCAAATATTGGTAAACTAATAATATACGTCAATGTGTCTGGGTTCTTAGGTGGGTCATGTTTCTATTTTTGACGACTGACTATACATAATCCAAATTCACGATTTCCTTAATGGTAAGTATATTAAGAGTACCGGATATTGACGAGTATGTACTATTTAGATATTCGTAATATAAAAAAAAAAAAACAATATTCTAGTTTTTGGCTATTTTGTAGAGAATCCTATTAGGTAATATTATATATGCAAAAGTTTGCAATGATGAATATTCATTTTTACATAAAAATTGCTGAATGAAATTTGGTAAATGGGTAGGTTATATCCTAACTTACACAGATACTTTACTGATTTACGCAGGCGGAGCTGCGGGATATAGCTAGTGATAATGTTGATAATAATCAGTCACTATTTACAAATACTCAGCAGATATTGGGTCCACGTTATTCTTTTGTTGAGCCTTATGTTTTAACGACTCATTTAAGCAGTATTTAATTTTAAAATTGTTCGTAAGTCAACTCAAGTCGGAGCGAAGCTGAGATCACTTGAATTCTAACGCTTTCCTTTGCCCAATGTCAAATATTTGAATTTCTTAAGTGGCCATACATTTACGAACTGTTTTATCGTATGCAAGAAGTGTTCAATATTCATCGCTGTGAGCACTGCTCGCTTCGGCACTGTTGTGTTAGAAAATAATTTAGTGTATGCGCCGCTACAGCGAACGGTCTCGTAATATCTAAGGACACCAAACCCGGACACTTTAAATACATATTTATTGTCTCGCATTAAGTTTTGTGTACTAATTAGTGGGTGTCCAATATGAATACGTAATAGAAAGTATCGTGGTCCAGGTGTGTTCGTTCAGTAAATATAGAGATTTCGGAGAGCCGTTAAACTTTTTATCTGGGTATATGGAGCGCTTTGAGAACAATTGTTGATTTTGAATACAATTATATATGATAACAATGGCAGTATTGGACCGTCTGCTTATAATAACTGTGCCAAAATAATGACACGTTTAAACGGTGCGGTGGCGCGCCGGTTCGGATCGCGTGTGTGAGGCGAAATCGAACGGTGCCAATCTATGCAAATTTCCTTGAAACATTTAACTTGCTCCTTGCTGTGCTTCCTTACTAAATATACCTAATTAAAATACGGCCACGCGATGACAGCCATTAATTGTAATATTTACATCTTATCCTTGTAGTCTTCAATATAATGTGTCAAATGTAAATCTAATTTAGTAACCGACCTGCGATTCCTGATCGCTTCATTCTAAAATTGTCAACTCAGTTATGAATAATACATATCTTATGTTGTTTAATTGAATAATTAAAAAAAAAAACTTAAACGTTATTAGATATTACTTTTTTAATTTCTATATCCAAGTTAAATTGTAGGCGTGCAAAAGATAAATTGATGCATGTACTTAATATAATTTCGCGTAGGCGTGGAGCTTTATAAAATACTTAAAACCACGTCAATTTTGCAAACGGAGAGCGGCACTGATAATTAAGGGTTACCCGTACTAGTTATTGCCCTTAAGTACAATGTGAAGTAAATAAACGTCTTACAAAGGCTGTCCGCATGTAATTTGGTTCGACCAAACCTCATTTATGTTGCAACAGTGAAGTCTGCACGGCTAATGCATGCAGATCTTTTGTTTTAAATAAAGAAAAAAATAAATTAAAAATATCGCAGAAAACATTGAAGGAGAAAAAACGATGGGCTGAACCAGCACACCCTGAGAGGCAAAGAGATTGACTGCTGTGATTATAGTGTTTAGCTCCTCACTCCATTTACTGAACTTAAGGAAGCATATCTTATCAATGTATTGCATCATGATATATCTATTTCATTATATTAATGAATCGTTGTAGGTATATTTATATATTTAATTGTGACGTCACAATAGATTTTTTAACATGTCGCAACAAGTTATATCTGAACAAAAAAAAAATCTCGTTCGAATTAAAATTTGAATAGATCAATTATCATATACCTACTTCAAGTTTTATATTGATATATATTTATACAGAACGACGTATTAGTATGTGTTTGATGATATCATTCTATGCACAGTTAATAGATAGTTAATTAATTAAAAAAAATAAACGTTTAACTTAATTTGGAAATTTTGATAACTTTTTGAATAATTAAAATTTTGTGGTCCACAAATAAAATCGACCTCAATTGTGATAAAAAATTGTGAAAGATTAAAATGAAAATAACTCATTTAAAAATTAAACTAGGTACTGTGACTATTTTAATAAAATTTTGTATGGAATCAATATGTAAGTATATCATTTCACAAAAAAAAATCCAAATCTGTTTAGAACTGATAGAGTTATAAGGTGACAAACACAAAAAAAAGATAGAACCGAGTCAAGAGACTTTTTTTAAAGTCAATAGACAATACAAAAAATATATACTCACTTTGCGTTCTACTAATGTTGAATTAGATTTGTCCTGGTTTCTAATGTCGAATAAGATTTCAGTGTAGTTTGTAGATGGCAGTTTAAACTTCCTCTTGTTGTCTCTGTACATGCTGGACTCGTTTACGTTGCGCCAATTCTTATTGAAGTTTTCTAACGTTTCCCCTAATTTACGAACAATATTATCCATTTTCGACACGTAAATCTTATGCAGTGGATCTTTGGTTTTCGTCTGATGCCTCTGATGTCGCCTCCTGTGCCTCGCATGGAATTCAGTCTCATGTTCGGGCGTTTGTTCTTTGGTTAGTTTCGTTATGCCTTGAGACTGAGACTTTTTGTGTTTCTTGTGCGCTGTTGGAGCGGCCTCGGATTCCGTCAGGCACATTATTATTGCTAGTATACACGTAGCTACCAACAGCTTTTTGGAAAAACCTGCGAACAAAACAGCACTGTTACCACTAGTGACACTCCTCACTGCATATTGCAAGCTGACACTGATAAATGTTAGACCAAACGAACGTAAAGTTTTGCGATAAAATAATAAATATCGAGGGAATACCAGATAATTACATATCATTGCTGTTATCTATATTAGGGTGATGATATAGGTGTTATCCAATTAAGAAATTGAAACGAACTGATAACGGGTGGTGTGCTCACCAAATATATATGTGGCAATATACGGGAATCGAGCTAAATCTTAGTAAAGTATAAACAAAGGAAGCGAGGACCGATGCCTCCGCTTTTGATAACGTTTCTTCCGTTGTGATTAATTAATATTCGGCTACAACTAACAAATCTTTGAAATGTGGTTCGAGATATTTTAGTTATTGTTATACTTAAATTTTTTTCGTAGCTTTATTACGTCTGTCATTTAGATATTATTTTACAGAGGGTTTGTATATACATATAAAACTAGATGAATTTAATGTTTTGCAATCAAACAATTGATTTTTATGCCTTACGCTATCTTTGAAAGATAATAAAAATAATGAATATATCAAAATAATGTACCATGATAAATGCAAAGGTTTATAATTATGTTTGTATCAATGGATATTTGTTACTCTTTCATGCGAAAGTATTGAACCGATTTCAATGAAATTTTAGTACATGGATAGGTTACATCTTAAATTAGAACAGGAAATTCCATATATCTACTGATTTATGCAGTGAAGCAATGGGATACAATTAATATATCAGGGGTGATCGACTTGATTAGACCCAAGAACTACTGGTTTCTGACGAAACTCTGTGCCATCTACCAATTACATACTTCTTGAAATCTCAAATGAAACAATATAATTCAGTACACAACTATCTAGTATTGTAGTATTTTTTATTTTATTAAGAACACATAAAATTGAAAATTATTCTTAGTAACTACTTATTTATATTAGTATGAGCATTGCATGTGAGTATCTTCGGCTAGATTAGCAGAATATTGTATTTTTTGCCTTGCCACGATCGACTGGACTTACAGTCGCAATCGACCGGTTGACCATCCCTGTAATATTTAATATTTATTATGAATTTACACATTGCATTTTGCTAAAACGGGAACAGGACCACGAATATCAATCATTGGTGCCATAATATGTTACTGTTAAAAAAGCTCGTTACACCCAAGTGTTCGGTGCGCGGTGCACTCGCAAACAGCTGCATTCTTATTAACTGGCCGGAGTTACGGGGACTCACATAAAAAATAATAAGCTTCGTGATTATCGTGAACGCACCACCACTCACGTATGTGCCTTCTTGTCCAATCTACATCTACCGACGACTTTCTCACTGACTATTAGGTGCTGTTGGGAACGAGGATCAGAATGACTTTTTTCGACAGAATTCGAAAAAGTACATTTCTGTTGGTTTTGTATTTGTATTTATTTAATACTAGCTTTTACCTACGCCTTCGGTCGCGTGATCATGATATGTGCATTGACCGGGATTAGGAGTAGTTTATGTCTTTATCTATTCCATATAATATGTGTAAGAACACGAATTTTATGGTAATTATTAAGCTATTTTTATTATCAGTAAGGGTTAATAATGATATTTTTTTTGATAAATCGTAGTTACATTCGGTTTAAAAAATTTGTTTTTTGTAAATCTTAATTATTAATTTTATATTTTTGTAAATTTGTTTTTTGTAATATCTCCTATTGTGTAATTTATTTAAATTTTATTAAACGGTTTTATTAGTAATAAAATTTTCACATATCTAACCTTATTAAGAGTATTAACACAAAAATGGTAGCATTTATTTATTATTTAAAATTACTGCTAAATTATTTTATTATTTTAGAGAGAAATTTGTTAATTGATACATTATACATAATTACAAGCACGGGGGGGGGGGGGGGGGGGGAAGACATTGTTATTAATGGTCTAACAGCCCTATTGCTGACAATATACCCCGTCAGGTCGACCTCCATATGGTTCCCCATGGAAATCAACTTGGTTAATTCTTGTGGAATTAGTCAATATATCATCTCTCATTAGTGCCCCGCCAGAATATATCGATAGCGCAGGCGGGGTTAAGATTCTATTCGTACTCATAGAAAAAAAAACAATCACAAGGATTCATATGTGTATGAATATTTATAAAATATTATGCGTTATATTTAGAATGAAGTATTAATTAATTTATTATTATTTTAAATAAATATAAATTAATTAATACAAGAAAATTTTGATTCATTTTATAATTGTATATGATACAGTTAAAAATCAATATCATCTCAATCAATATGAGTACTTAGTATGTTTATAATATCCTATATATTCTATACCGTGTGATCTCGGCATACAGTGGCCCACACTTTTCTTTCCTGTAGGTGTTGTTATAAGCAATTAAGGAAAGTTAATAAACGAGGGATGGGTAGCAGTGTTTCTTTTAAAACATCACCAAAACCTAACTGCGGTTGTCAACCTGCCTGACATCTGTGGCAGCTACTGACAATATTCCTCTCATGAGGTCTCTCTCCTTTATCTCTGATATGATGATGATGATAAATTACTGATCTGCAATAATTCTTTTTAAAATTTCGTATTTTAATTGGTATTAAATTAATAAGAAACTAAGATAGGAGTAAACGAATAATTAAATTTAGATGATTAACTTACAGGTTTTTGAAGTAAAAAAATACCAAACTTTTCGTAAGATATTTGTTTTTTCTAAGTTTCGAAAACATTGTAATGGAAAGCGTGATGCCGTCGCCCAATGGCCATTTGTTGCGGAAAAATAACTTGTATTCGATTTAACGTTTGACTGTTATTGAAGGTTTTGATGTTTTGCGCCGTGGCCATAAAACATATTTTATGTTCGAACGCTGCCTGGCAATTCTTCGCGACGTTTTATACTTTAAAAGGTGGAAGCACCAAACGTTAGCAACGGTGGTCTTTGTCCGCGAAAGTGCTAAAACCTAGAAAGTTACCCTTTCATTGCGTATTTACTATTTTTATCTGTCAATAGTTGGTAATAAAGTTGACGTGTTTTGTTTTGTGTTGCTGCGGATGTTTTGCGGATATAGAAAGTTAATATGCTCTTTTTTTTGTATTAATGACTATTTTATTTATATAATATAAAATATTATAAAATAACAATATCGTAGAATTTTAAATAGATTTGTGAAATTTATAATCAGTTCAGATAAATGGGTTTATAATTGTACGCGTTTATTAACAATGTATTATTTTATTTTATTCATTATAACATTTATATTTTTATGTTCTTCTTTTGTTTTGATTTTTAAGATAGTTAATAGTAGGTTTGGAATACGGAAATCTAATACGCAGGAGTAATATGCATGAGGAGTATAATGCATGTGGAGTGCATGTATGGCACACTATATTTGTTACGCCTATATTTATTCTATGTATATGTGTTTTCCATTGTCTGTCTGCTTGTTTGACATTCTCAGTAGTAGTTATATATTGGTTACATAAAAGACATTTTCAGCCTATTTAAAAAAGAAGGAAGTTTTCAATCGAGTGGTTTTTTTTTAATTATATTTGTTAAATCATAATCCGTCAGTTATCACCGAGTCGGAAAATTATTTTTCATAGAAATTTTATCAAAGCCGGTTCAGTAGTTTAGTTTTTAATTCAAAATAACTTTTTTGTAGAATTCCAACTAAAATTATATAGATAAAAGAATAAACAACTTCTTTGGTGTCCTTTGTAATGTAATGGCTTAATATTGTCTCATGGTATAATATTGTGTCGGTTGTTATGGATTTATAAGTTTTTCAATATTATATTTGTACATATTATGTCTACGAAAAACATGTAAATATTTATTTATACTTTATGGTACACATTAATAATATATAAAAATATGACAGAGGAAAGCAAATGTAAATAAAGGCGAGCTTAATTCTAAAATTAAGTATTTTTATCAACTGTTTAGTTAGTTAGTATCCACAGTTCATAGTGTATATCATTTGAGTATGTCCAATATCGACAGTAAGCTCTGCTTAGTTTGAAACTAGAACCTAATCTATGATATACCCATGACTATTTAGTATAATAATTAAATTACATAAAAATGTGACGTACAATATAGTTTTGAGAAGTTTAACAAGATCTTATTACGTCACACAAGGATAATTGCCGGAAAATGGTCAGTGAATCATTAGGTCAATTCGTGTCGTTGACAATATAATGTATGCTTAGTAAATACGGCGGTACATACACGATATAGGTGGAAAATATTAGGTACGGCAATTTGGCGAACTGGAGTTATGCAATTGCGTGTGTTCGTTAGTTTTTATTCTATAATCTATTGTCGAACAGATCGAGTTATCAACATACAATGCTATCGCATCTGATTATATACGTTAAAAGCGGTATGCATGAAGTGATTTACTCATCACGGGGTTTTCCCAATGTTAACGTGTGAAGAAGGATTTATTTTCATATTTAGGTGTTGCAAAAAATATTTTAGCTTAATGTAAAAGTTATTTTCAAAAAGTATATACGTATATTTTTATCGTTTTGTCTTGTATCGTTTATGATTTTTTATTTGTTGCAAAAAGTAAGATTCATTAATTCCATTTTAATGTTTTATGTACGTAACATTTTTATGATCTAAAAATGAAAAAATATCTAGACTTTTTTATACAACTTAGAATGGCAAAAAAGCTGTCGGCCCACCTGATGGAAAGTGGCAACCGTCACTTATAGACATGAGCAGTATCATGGACATAACATAGTATACTGTTTCGCCAATGATACCCCCCATGCGTTGCTATTCTTGAGGACTCAGGTGTTATTCCTTTAAATTCATTAAAAATTATTCCTGTAAATTCACGCCATATCCTAAACTTCAAACAGAAACACAGCCATGCAAACACAACTGTTTCACGGTAGAAACACGAATGAGACAGAGGTACCCAAGCAATCGACTTTTGTACAAATACGAAGTAGTA